AGGCAATCCACTCACCTCAGCCTCCCAAAGGCACGGGATTACAGGCTGAGCCACCGAACCCGGCTGAAGATAGGTTTTTAATTCAAAACAAGGGACAGCTTTTTAAGAGCATGAAAATGGGTAATTTAGGACACAGCTCCTTTCCCTCCTTCCCACCGTATTGTAGTGGCTCAAATATAGATTGAATCACTGCCTCACTCATCCATTCAATCCTTATTTTGTAAGTGCTTAATGCACTGCGATGGGGCTTATTCTCCTTCCCCAGCCCTCCGGACCTGGAAGCAGGTAGATTCCCACACAGCAGTACCTAACTGTAGTTCAAGGCCATGTGACAGTATAGAATGTTGGGAGAGCCCATCAAGGCAAGCAGGTTTACCTTGGTGGCATATTGGGGTGCACAGTAGGGATCAGGCTCTTGTGAATGTGGCTTAGCAGAGAAAGGTATGCAATTCCTGCTGGCCCAAGACAAAGCTTTGAGTGACACTATTCAGGATTCTTCCTACACTTGTGTCCAGGTCAAGAACAGACCCAGGTGACCCAAGGAACTGCTTTACTCCTTGACTTTTATTTTTATTTATTTTTAGTCAGAGTCTCACTCTGTAGCCCAGGCTGGAGTGCAGTGGCAGGGATCATAGCTCACCACAGCCTGGACCACCTGGACTCAGGTAATCCTTCTGCCTCAGCTTCCTGAGTGGCTGGGACTACAGGTGGGTACCACTACACCTGGATAATTTATTATTTTTTATAGAGACAAGGTCTTGCTTTGTTGCCCAGGCTGGTCTCGAACTCCTGGGCTCAAGCAATCTTTCTGCCTCAGCTTCCCAAATTGCTGGGATTACAGACATGAGCTACCATGCCTGGCCTACCTCCTGATTTTGATCGCAGAATGTCTGTAGAAACACACTGTATTTAATGTCCAATTAACTCTCCTCCCAAAGCAAGGAAATAAATTAGTCGAGTGTTGTGGCTCATACCTGTAGTTCCAGCTACTTGTGAGGCTGAGGCAGAAGGATCTCCTAAGCCCAGGAGTTTGCCACTGCAAACCAGCCTAGGCAACAGAGTGAGACTCTAACTTAAATAATAAATAAATAAATAAATAAAATATTTGGTAAAGATTTGGTGAAAAATACCAGGGCACTTCAACTTTCTCATATTTCTCCTTCTCCCTTACTCCATTCATCCCACAGAGTTCTCAAATGTATGTTGGTATAATTTAAAATATATTACTTAAAAATATATATGTGTTAAGAATTATTTAAGATATTTTAATTCTATTTTGTAACTATACTTAACAACAGTTGCATTTAATCTACTTTATGCTTAAATGTCTTCAGTATTCATCATCAACCTGTTTCAATCTTTGCCTCTTGAATTCTTTTAAAAACATTTCTTTTTTGGCTTGAGTGAGTCATGAAATAAATTTTTCTTTAAGAAGGGTTTGTAGGTATTTTGAGTTTTTGCATACTTGAGAGTTTCTTTCAATTGTCTTTACACATGAATGAAATTTTGCTTGTTGTGGAGTTTTTGGCTTAAATTTTTTGAAATTTAATGTGTTAGACAGATGTATAATGCTGGCCTGATGTTTTCTTCCTTTGTAGGCAACTTAATAAACATTCTGTTCCAAAGT